GCAGACAGATTCAATGTGGTGACTACTCTTAATTCCCACTTCCTGGTGTTTAAATCTTTACATAATTCCCTCTTCTTGAATGTGAACTGGACCTATGACTCGCTTATAATAATGAAATGCAGCAAAGGCAATGGACTATATGTGATTACATCGTGATTACGTAAGAATGTAGTACCAGCCCACCTTGATAGTCTCTCTCTCCTTTGCTGGCTTTAAAGAAACAAGCTGCTATAAACCTAACCACCATGAGGAAATGAATTCTGCCAATAACCTAAGAAAGTTTGGGGACAAACCCTTCCCCATTTGAGTCTCTAGATAACAATCCAGTCCTAACCAACACCTTGACTGCCATCTTGCAGAGGACCCAGCTAACAGCTAAGCTATGCCAAGTCTCTTGACTCACAGAAACTGTGAGATAATGTGTGTTCCTTTAAGCAGCTAAACTGATAGTAATTTGTTAATAAGCAGCATAGAAAATGAACACAATCAGAACCTAAGGTATTTCTGAACCCTTTGTTCACACAAAGGGCTATGTTCCCCCTAACTTCTAAACACTTAAATGTGGAACCAGTCAAGTACACGCAAAATTAAAACAGACTAACATTTCAAATAAACAATAGTTCTTAGGAATATTTACATAAGGTAAAACTTAGGAAGTGATTTTCTACATAAAGCAGTTCCTATACTTCTCTTTTAACCCATTTGCCAATTTTACATATACCTAGGTATATGTAATAAGTATAACACTAAGGCAATTCTCCTTACAAACACAAAATGAATAATAAATATTAAAACGATATCTAATTAATGATATTGGTAATCAAAAATAAGAACTCGTCACCAGGCAAAACAATCAAATTAGAGAAGAGCAGAGGACTTGCTGGAGACACTTTCTGTTAGTAAGACAACAGAGCTCTTACTCCCTCAGGCACTACAGCAGCCAGCACAGCATCAAAGTACCAGGTACTCCGGTCATGCTGCTCTCAGGATCAGATGATGTGCAACTCATACCACTCCTGCCTCCAGCCCACATTCCACCTTGCTGTCAAGAATACTTTCAAAAAATTCCCAAAGCAGAAACTTCAATGAAAGAGGGCATACTTCAGTATAGCAAAGCATACAACATGAGGCATCTCCTGTAGTGTATAAAGATACATGGGATCACAAATGAGAAACATTAACGAAAATTCTTATTTTTTCAGGGGTGGCAAGGGTGGTGATTTAGAAGGGTCATTTTTCTTAGAAAAACAGCAGACATTTCTCTTCTGCCACTCCCCATAAAAGTCTTCAATTGAACAAAAGAACATTTGGGAAAAGGAAGAGGATTAATTAAAATATCCCAAATTCAAACATTTTGGCACTTGTTACTTGTTAAAAGTAATGATTGCAAACAATTCAATAATGGTTAATGGAAATAATCTAATACCATAAAAACTCTTATCTGTCTTGAAAATTAAAAGAAATAATTCTTCTTAAAAATACAGATCTTATTTAACATATTCAGTTTTAAGAGATAACCTAAACTCCTTCCTATAAGGAATCATGTTTCATAAGTAATAGGAGGCACTTGAATTACAATCAGACTATTGAAATACTCAGGAGCAAACCACACCTAAACAAGTGCATGACAATTAAGAGGTCAAAAGCAACCCAGTACCACTGGCTGTCTTAAATTAAATCATTTTACGTTTTCACTCCCAAACTCATGGATATATTGTAAAAGTCCTCATGATTTCTCCAGAAATAATCTCCATTCTTTGGTATATTTTTATAGTCCAATTCACTTCACCTATCCTTGCTGCATCAGTAAAGTCTCTTTTACCATCCGTATTAATTGCTTTTATGAATGTTAGCAACTTGATAGAAAAAAACATAGACATAAAATAAAGCCAAACAAATCCTCAAATACCACTAAGGCTTTTTTAAAATATTAGTCTATACCCTTAAAGCCTTGTTTTAAAACAAAGGTGATAGGCAATATTAGCAGTAGTCAAGATAAGGCCTCTGTTCACTTTAACATTATTACCACTATGAAAATAACAAAAACAGGAAAGATCTAATTCACCTAAAACTCCTATACAGATTATAATCATATTTTGATGTCCAGCAACTCAAGTCTAGGAAATTTCTGCAAACTTAAATATCTGGATTAGGCACCTTTCTTCCAGTTTTCTAGAAAGAATTAAATATATATCTAAAACAGAGCAATACATAAAACCAATGCAGAAACCTCCTCATTCAATCTGGCAATTCATTATGAGAGAACTACTAACATTTTGACTCACTAGACTCCTAAGTGTAAAAAAAAAAAAAAAAAAGTGGAAAAGTGGGGCTGTTTAAGTTTTCACTTTCTATAAATTACATGACAGCTCACAAGGGAATAATTTTGAATCTCAGTATATTTTCTTATTCGAAGACATAAGTAACACAAACAAAACAGTTTTACAAAATTACAATAAGAATTTTCCATTAATTCATAAATAATCCTTTTCTGTTTTCAGATGGAGTGACTTTATATATGCCCAAACATTTGTACAATTTGTAACTGAATGAACACATTAACACCAAAATACATACTAAAAAATTAAGTCAATGTGAAGTAGAGTCAACTCTAATTTTTAAAATAAGATTCACCATCTAGCTCTGTAAACCTCACCATGATGATAAACATGCTTCTATTATTTTCCTAATGAATCCATCTACTGAAATATAGGTAGAAATCTCAGTAAGGCACTAGAAAGATAGGTTTTTACATAGTGTATTCCATCTCCACGTCTCAATGAGGATTTTGGGTCATGGCACTTCGATCTGATCACATAATATAATAAAAACAGGTAATTTCTCTGATCCTTTCCAGCATTTCTCAATAAGGTTCCCTCACCGAATCACCGAACACAGAAAATTAATCTGAGTGATTGTTTTCACAAATGTTCCAAGAAAGAACTAGAACATCACTAGAACTGTTCTGCACTGGAGATAAAGGTTCCCCATTGCACATGATAGATGACCTAGGATGTGAGAGCTCAATTGTCTCCAGAAACCTGGCTGAGAAAGGCTACCACACGTCCCCCAGACAGTGTCACTGTCCTGCTACTAGGCCTCAGCCATCCTAACTCTAACAGCACTAAAAGAACTACATTGAGTGCAGAAATCTAGGAACTTAGATAAGGAAAAAGACAAATAAGCAATTAGGTCTTTTCCACTTGCTCATTTACTATGAATTAATAGCACAGGTGTCAACTGTTTGTCCCTTGCTCTGAATGGAAAGTATTCACTGTAACAAAATAAACCCACACAAACATAATTTTTGTCAAAGGGAATTGTCATCCCTTAAAAAAATGAATAAAAATAGTAATCAGTATATTAAATACTAACTTGTCAAGCCTTTTCCTATTCCCCCTTCTTTGCAAGTTTTGCTAAATTTGCATTTAGCAATATCAAAACATATATTTTTAAAATATTCACTTTAAAAACACAAGTATTTTTAAAACCCAGTTGATCCTTTACTCTCGCTCTAATCACCAATTCTCAGGAAACTGCCTTTTTTTAATTCCTTGACATTGTGACTACAGCACCTTCAATTTTGTTAGTTGTGATCAAATCATAGTAAGGACACCCATAGTTCTTTTTCTCAAAAACAAATGATTTTTAAAAGATGGTCCAATTTTAGGAAGTAAGAATATTTTTATTCACGTAGAAAAAATTACTTTAAAATAAGGTAGCTCATTAAAACCAAGAACTGTTACATACTGAATGTGCAAAGCGTTATTTTAAAAAATGGGAAAGCATAAACATGACATTCCTATTTTTAATTTTTGCTAGCATGAATGCTTATAACACTGAACAGCAGAACAAATTACACTACCAAACATTCCACTTTACCAAATCCCTACTCAAAGTTCTTACATTTATCAGTGTATGAGTAAAGGGGGCACCAAAATGAAGGGGATGGTGTTTTCACTGCACATCTGTGCTCGATTGTGAATTTTTCTAATATCAGATACATAATGCAATGATATGAGAATGTTTATCTTCTATACTTCTGTTTCTTTTCCTAAAGGGGGGAAGGTGGTGTTGATTCATTTACTATTAAGTGTTTTGCAATAAAGTAGATCACCATAAAACTTAATTGGAGAGGCAGAATTCACTTTCCTCAGAACAAGTACACCCTTCCTGTTTCTACATAAAAGCAGACCATTTTGTTATCAAAAATTTCCCTTTTTTACAAGGGACTTTTCCTGAACTCTAGATAACATTGCTCTTCAAAAGAATCTAGCCAATTACTGCACCTTGTAGGCAGAGCTGTAATAATTTTTAGTTTCTCTCCTTAAGAAACTATTTTCAATTCTTTAAACGCTCTGTCTAAATTAACGTCTCACATTAACTATGATCTAAAGTAGTTTACTGGGGTTAAAATTTGTTTTCATTAACACATTCATCCAATTAAAGTGTACGTAATAAGTGGGACTACTGACGCAGACTTACAGATGACAGCTTTATATTAAAAGTCAGTCCAAAGGAGATGATAACGCCCTCCTTTTTCAAATACTCAAATGTTCATCTGAGACCCTTCGACTTCTGGCCTTTAAAAATTGCTCTCACCACTCGAGTTCCCAGAGAGAACTACATTTAGCAACGGGTCTCCTCCTGACTTCCTGGTACTAAAAGCCACAACCACAAGGGCTGTTTCGTCTATTAGTTTTAAAACAACATTTGCTCCCTTCACCTCATTGGAAAAAAAGGGGTTTTTCTATACTGGGGAGCTGCTACTGAGGTGAGGGTGCTCACGGTGTTTAAAAACAAAAACCCCACGTCTAAGCCGTAGCGGCACCGCAGGGGTTTAGTGCAGCTTTTCCTCCCAGGAGTGGGACCCGGCGGCAAATCCCCGGCGCCCCAGCTGAAGGAGAAAAGGAAAAGGGTAAAAATGAGCGGCGGCCGCGGCCCACGTGCCACCACGGGAGGCAGGTGAGAGGGCCCGGCGCGCGGGGAGGGGGCCGTACCTCCAAACATGTGCGGCGAGAGGTGAGCTGGTAAGGAGCCGATCACCAGGCGCGGCCCGCCGGGGCCCCCGCCCGCCGGCCGGTCCCTGCTGCCGCCGCCGTCCTCGGGGCTGCTGTGCACCGAGTCCTGCGAGCCGTACGGACCGCTGCTGCTATTGGGGATGTTGAAGGAGGACTGCGCGGCGCGGGCACCCGACGCCACGCTCCCCACGGCCCCGCCGAGGGAGCGGCTGCGCGGGGCCGCCGGGGCCGCCGAGGCCGCCGCGGCGCCGCCCGAGGAGCTGGGCTGGTGCGCGCCGGGCACCTGAGCCGGAAACCTCCCAGTGGCCGCGGCCCGAGCCCCGCCGCCGCCGCCGCCTGCGGTCCCGTTGGCCCCTCCGCTGCTGCTGGAAGGTAGATCCGAGCCCGAGTACGCGCGGGTGCGGCCGTTAGCAGCGGCCGGGCCGCTCTGCTTGGCGCCCATGTCCGCCCTGCCCCGGGCCGGGCCCGCGCGCAGCGCTCCGAGCGCGGGGAGGGCGGGAGCGAGCGCAGGAGCGAAAGGGCAGGGCCGAGGCGCCGCGGCCGGCCCAGAAAGGCCCCCGCACGTCCAGGGCCGCCGCCAGGCGCCCCGAGGGGCGATCGGCGCCCGGCGCGCTCTTCTTCTCGGGGGCGGTGGGAAAGGCCGGCGGCCTGACGGGGGCGCGAGAGACGAGGAGAGGCGGAGAGGAAAGAGGGCCCAGCTGCGGGCGCGGCTCGCTGGCTCCGGCGGGAAGGGGCGGCTCAGGTGGCTGTGCGGCTGCCGCTGGTTTCGGTTCTGGTGCCCGACGACGGGCCGCTGCCGCTCTCTGCCGCCGCGCTCTGCGCCCGGGGCCTCGGCACCGCCTCCTCCCGGGCGGCCGCCGCTACCGCCGCCATCCTCTAGCTCCCACGGCAGCTCGCGGGTGAGTGGGAGGCGCCCGCCCAGACTCCGCTGGGGCCACCTTCCCCCCCGCCCCCAGCCACCCAGCTGTTATTAACGTAGAAAGAGGAAAAACGGGTGGCGCGTGAGGGGAGGATGGAGAAGGGGAGGGAGGGGCGGCGCGCGCTTCCCGGCAACCGTCGCCTCGCTGTCCCCGTGAGGGAGGGGCAGGGGGATCTGGGCTACGCAGGAGGGGGTGCTTAGGCGGGAGGAGGTTCCCGGGCCCTAGCACCGGAAGGCCGAGGAGCAGCGCGACTCCAGGGTACGCCTAGGCCCGTGTGTTTGGGTCGCCCGCGGCGACCCCGCCCCCGCCCCCTTGCGCCGCCTGGTGGATTGGCTTCCGCGGACCTGGCCCCGCCTCCCCCGGCCGCGGCCTGCCCGCCCAGGCCCCGCCTCGCCAAGGTACGGCGGGGTGGTAGGTGCTGCCACCCGCGGACTCGGTGATGGACTGGTCGACAGCTCCGCCCCCTTCCGGAGCTTGCTCCCCGCCCCCACCGCGGGGCCTACGCCGATTGGAGGGACCGAGCCCCTCGGGGCGCCAACCAGAAGGCGGCCCCTCCTCCCGCACGTGGTTAGCGGACGCTGGAGGAGAGCGTGTGTCCCCTTTTGCTTTTGCTGGCGGGGAGGTGTCTAGAGCCATTTGGTGTCAGTGGGTGTTCCCCTCCTCGTTGGTGTTACTCTGATTTAAAAAAAATAAAAGAAAGCTCAAAAGCCAACTTTCTGAATTAGACTTACCCCATGAAACACTCCAATCTGGGAGGAAGTGCGGCGTTGGAGGAACTAAGGATAATCCAGCCTGACCTCAGCGGTAGGGCAAAAACCGTGGTGCAGAGAAAGCTGCACCTACTCAAAAGGCCTGGGATCTAGGCCCAACACGAAAATAAATTATGTGTAGTAAACAAATTATTTTACCTTTCTGGACTTCAGCTTCCTCACCTGGAGTGTTTGTATTAAATCATTTACTAGGGTACCTGTACCTTTAAGATCCTATAATTTCTCCAAGATGTAATTTAATAAAATTCTCAGTGCATTCCTAGGTGTAGTGTAGTATCTTGATGGCAGAACATGGAAACAGCCTGCTGTGACCCTCCCATTTTGAAAATGTCTAAAGAGCCACCTACCTGAAAGTAATAGCAAGTGGTGTTTTACACAAACTACAGAGATAAATACTTTGGGTTTTTTTCCGTATTTGCAATGAGTCGCTTATGTAATGATTTTCATCAGTCTTTCAGAAAGTATGGGCATCAAGTTTTTAAACAAAGGAGTGAGGAATATAGATACGAAGACATTTATATGCAGTTTTTCCACACAAATGGAAAAACAAAGGTACTCATTAACACTATATGGAATATCATGTTAAAATGTCATTTTTTTTTTTTTATCTCCTTACAGATGTCCCCTGTCACGACCCTCCTCCCCACCCCATCATCACAGACTGGCTTCAGTGTTCCCACTCATTGCTGTATAAAACCTCCTGCATGGCACTGATCATGTTGTTATCATTATTAGACTTCTTGCTTGTCAATAAACAACTGGCTCCATGATCAACTTGACGCCTCCACCGTCTAACACAGTGCCTGGCACATATGATGGTACAATCAATGTTCTGTGAATAAATGAATAAACGAGTGAATGCATACCTCTTCACCAGTCGTTCTAAAATGGTTCTTTCTTTAAGGTAAGTCATGAACTTACCATGTTCTTATTCTCCTTGGCGTCTTCCTTGTGGTGGGTGTCCCTTCCATCTCCTCTCTAGTGGCCCATTTTGCTTCTTTCCCCATGAAGATGCTGGAGATAAAACTGTGGCTTTCTATGTTCTTTCCTCACTCCTCTTCCCGCTCTCCTCAACCCTCTCATCTCTCTCCAAACAGTAATCCTCATGAAGCTGTCATTGTGTTTTATTGTCAACCAACCAGTTCTGACTTCATTTAAATTTTGTAGCTTCTTTATTATACCCTTGAAGTTCTTCAACAATTAAAAGTGTTGCTTCATCCAAGTGAGTACACACGGGTGTACACGTATGTAGAACTGAAACAAGTTTTGTAAGATAATACCCATGCCACATGGAATGCACTTTATTTTTTATTCTATTTCACTTTTGTAAAATGTGGTCACTGCCCACTGAATTGATTTCACAACATGCTAATGGGTTGTAATCTGCTGTTTGACAAACAATGATCTAAATCAGCACTTTGCAAACTTTAGTGCATAGGGCAACCTTGTTAAAACAGACTGCTGTGGCCGGACGCGGTGGCTCACGCCTGTAATCCTAGCACTCTGGAAGGCCGAGGCGGGTGGATCGCTCAAGGTCAGGAGTTCGAGACCATCCTGAACAAGAGTGAGACCTCCGTCTCTACTAAAAATAGAAAGAAATTATCTGGACAACTAAAAAAATATATAGAGAGAAAAAATTAACTGGGCATGGTGGCGCATGCCTGTAGTCCCAACTACTCGGGAGGCTGAGGCAATAGGATCGCTTGAGCCCAGGAGTTTGAGGTTGCTGTGAGCTAGACTGAAGCCACGGCACTCTAGCCTGGGCAACAGAGTGAGACTCTGTCTCAAAAAAAAAAAAAAAGACTGCTGTGCCCCACCCTCAGTGATTCTCATTCCATAGCTAAGGGTTAGGCCTGGAGAATTTGCATCCTAACAAGCTGCCAGTGGTGTTGCTGCCACCAGACCTCAGACCACATGTGCAGAAGTCCCCGGGTTAGGAGGGAGAGTCCTGCAGCCTCAAGGTGACATGTGGTCCTCCAGATCCCCAAATGTGGCCCCTCAAGCAATTCCAAACTTCACAGAACAAATCTCTTTATTAAAAGGATTTGTTCTGTACAATTTGGATTCAGTCAAAAGGCTGCACTCAAGGATCCAGAAGTACACATGTGACCCCAAGGCCACAGGTTCCCCACCCCTGCATAATGTTTCCGTGTACACAATCAACTGTTGTTTTAATGTCCTACTGACTCGTCAAGAGACCAGAGCCCCTGCTCCTTAAAATTCCTCATATTTGAAGCTTTTTAACATACTATATTTTTCTTCCTCCTCACAGGATTAAATGATGATACTTTGACCCAAGATTTGGGGTTTGAGATTAGTTTGAATGTTCTGTTAAGGCACTTCACGTTGACAAAACTATTGGCCAGAAACCCACACTGGAATAGGTAAACTACTTGTGAGCTTTCAATAAAAAATGTCCAACTGACCTGTTTGCCGTTGTCTAGTTTAAATTTCAGTTGTGGGGAGCTCCTACCCTTTGGCCTTATTCTCCTTTGTGCTCCCCTTTCCTCTCTTGCCCCCTCTCTTAAAGCTGTGCTGGATCAGACCTTTGACGCATGGGACACCAGATTTACGTAGAGCAGAAGACCTGTGGCACCCATTGGTTCCCTCAGTTGGGGCCCACAGCCTCCCACCAGGGCTCTCCTGCAGCCAGCACCAGCCCTACACGTTTTGCTCATGTCTTTGCCAACCTGCTTTCCCTCTCATTGTAGTATTTTAAAGATGGCTCTGGTTTCGCGTTTAAAAAAAAAATGTTCATACACTACCTGGTTTCTTACCAAAATGAAACTATGTGTGTAATTACCTTTTCTTTTCTTTTTTTTCTTTCTTTCTTTCTTTCTTTCGACAGAGTCTTACTCTGTCACCCTGGGTAGAGTGCAGTGGCATCATCATAGCTCACTGCAACCTCAAACTCCTGGGCTCAAGTGATTCTCCTGATTCAGCCTCCTGAGTAGCTGGGACTACAGGCACCCACCACAACACCTGGCTAATTTTTCTATTTTTAGTAGAGATAGGGTCTTGCTCTTGTTCAGGATGGTCTCAAACTCCTGACCTCAGAAGCAGTGCTCCCGCCTTCGCCTCCCAGAGTGCTAGGATTACAAGCATGAGCCACCTCACCTGGCCAATTACCTATCTTTAATAGGCCTTTTTTCCTATGATTATATTTTATTTTTTAAAGATGTAAATGGACCATCTAAACATTATGTTTATCTTGATATATTCTTCTACAGAAAACACTGTTCAAGATTTTGGTGGTGACTACAGACTTACATATTAAGTTCTAAAATTTAGAGCATTTAGGAATCACATTGTTGGATAATTCTTCAGAGAACATCAGTAGTTTATGTATTGTCTTTAACAAACTTTCATTCTCCCTTTCCTGTACTTTCATTGGTTGTTTAATGAAAAGCAAAGGACGGGAGCCAATCATGACAGGATTATAAGCACACACCATGAAGTGGGCGCGCTCAAACTGGGGTTAGGCCCTGGCTCTGTCTAACAATGGCTGTGGGATTTAGGGCAAGCCACTTAACCTGACTAAACTTGTTTCCTCTGTAAAATGCAGATGATCATACAGTTTAATGTACCAGTCTCACAGAGTGGTTATGAGTCTCAAAAGATTGTCTCCATTTGAGAGTACTTTGAAATTTAATAGAAATACAAATTTTAATCTCAATGTTGTTATCCCTAGCAGG